TGTATGTATATATATATATATATATATATATATATATATATATATATATATGTATATATATATATATATATATATATGTATGTATATGTATATATATATGTATGTATATATATATATATATATATATATATATATATGTATGTATATATATATGTATATAGGTATATGTATATGTAGGTATATATATATATATATATATATATGTATATATATATATATATATATATATATACATATATATATATATATATATATATATATATATATATATATGTATGTATATATATATATATATATATATATATATATATATATATATATATATGTATATATATACATATATATTTATATACATGCATATATATATATATATATATATATATATGTATGCAGATCAAAGCTAACACACAGGGAATTATTTTAGTCGTGTTCGATAAAGGAATCGAAATAAATAAATATCTGCAATAAGGTTATTATGATTAATGATATTTTTATTCGGAACCGTTATTTTTTTTTGTTTTTGTTTGTGTAGCATCTGCACAATTTGTGGCTCAATTTTATTTTCTAGTCGAGAAGATGTTAAGAAAATATAACGTGGAAGGAAATTTGCAAAAGCTAAGGGAGTGGAGGAATGTGAAAAATTTTACGCACAATAATTCTGAAAGGAGAAGCCCGTGGAAAGAAATACCATATATATATATATATATATATATATATATATATATATATATATATATATATATATATATATATATATATGGCGTGTTTATCTAAAAATAAATAGGCTTAAGTTCACATTCATCCTTGCCGGGACAGATTCTCCGACTGTCTCCTACTCAGTCGGGTTTCCATCCTTGCTAGAGGCCTAGCCACACTGATGGGCTGTGATACCGAGGCACCTGCTGCGCGTTTATCTAAAAAATAAATAGGCTTAGATATCACCTTGATCTCTGCCGTGTGCCAACGGCTTAGGCATAGATTCCCCGATTGAGGCAAATTTAACCAGGTTTCCATCCTTGTAAGAGGTCTAGCCACACTGATGGGCTGTGATACAGAGGCACCTTCTATGTATTAATCTAAAAAATAAATAGGTTTAGATATCACCTTGATCACGGCCGTGTGCCAACGGCTTTACGCAGATTCTCCGACTGAGGTCAATTTATCCAGGTTTCGATCCTAGCTAGATGTATCCAGACGTCTAGCTACACTGATGAGCTGTGATACACAGAAACACTCTGCCTGTGTATGACAATATATATAATATATATATATATATATATATATATATATATATACCAATTTCGTAATCCAAGTAGGGATTATTAGTATAAAATATAAAAAAAAATGTATCCGTAAAGAGAGATCAGTGTATAGTAATCAGAGCAATATGATATACACCAAGGAAAAAATTTAACGCATCATTAAAAACAGTGTTGTAAATTATAATTTATTTCTGCTGGTATGTTTTTATTATTCGTCTTATCAGACTGAAATTTATAACCGTGTGTTCGTTGATACGTTAAGTTTTTTTACACACACACACACAGACATATATATATATATATATATATATATATATAAAACATCTCTCAACCCAGAATTTACATGAACACTTAAGAAAAATACTGGTCGGAAACACAGAAATTCTATATAAATAACGTTACCGGAAACATCTCGCTATTAGAGACGCCATGTATATAAAACATCTCTCTGTTACTATCAACACTACCTTATTTAAAATGGTAGTGTGGTATTAAAAGTTTTAAAAATAAAAGGAGCTCACGCGAATTCCATTCGCGCTGAACACGCGAAGGCTCGACATCACCGCTCCTATTCAAAACAACACAAAATAAAATACTTAAACAGTCAACAATAAAACTCAAACAGTGAACAATGTGAGGAAAAACTAACAATAGCAAAAAAAAAAACTCCCTTGAAAATGTCTAAAGAAATGTCCGAAAGCGCTTCGGACGATGAAAATTATGGACAATGTCTGTACTACTTTAATTTTTACAAAACTATGGATGGTGGAAAAACTAAATAAAAATTAATTAAATCATCCTCGTCTGCCATATTTAAAGAAACATGATGAAAAAAGGCGTTGCTGCCAAAGGTATTTTTCCTGTATGTCAGTGACCGTATGGGAACCGGTATTTTAACGTGATATGGCCCTAAGCACAACGTTTTAAAGAAAATGATAAGAAAAAAGAGTTTTACTTAGCATCAGTGGGAGACAGTTGTAATTTCTGGTAGGCATAGTGAGGATACGGTACTTCGAGAATGGTACACTAACAGGACATATCCAAAGAACATTGCATGTGCTACCTAACGAGATTACGTAAATGGATAACAGAACAGGGTTTAGGAGAGCTAACACAAATAAAAAAAAATACGCTAACAACTAAAAAGGCAGTTGTGGAGAGCCATGTTCGCCAAGGTCCAGAAGAGACACGGTTCATAGAAGAAAAAGATAAGATGCGATTTTCCTGTGCATCTACGAATGTTGGCGCTGGAAACAATCCGATGTCGTAAGATATGACGAATAAAGTGTAAGGGAGAAAATGTTCACTTATTCTACACAGGAAGCAGCATCAGTTGGACGTGAATGGCTTCTCTCTGATTATCTACAAACCTTCTGGGGTTGATCTCACTTGAGGGTATTGGTCATAATAGGGAAGTTTCTGAAAGAAGCACCACGGTCAAATTAATCCCTTGACGCTAAAGTTGCCTAGATTAATGTCATTAGAATACGTCACTTTCGCACGAACAGGAACATTGACAAGGCTTCCAGCCCAGTATCAATGACATATACATTTCATTTTCCGCTCGGATAGATGATGAAATCTATCTATCTATCTATCTATCTATCTATCTATCTATCTATCTATCTATCTATCTAATTTTATCCAAATCTATCCTAGTCTCTTTCCATCTATCTTATTATGTGTAAATATATTAGAGTTTTATTTATCGGTATTAATTTCATCCAATCTATCTATCTATCTATCTATCTATGGAAGAATAGAAAAGTTAAATTTCTTACATCAGGTAAATTGTAGGTAACTAAGAGGCAAAATGGAAAAACACCGATGTGACGCGTTTCTTCTTGCAAAATGACATCGTCAGAGAAAATAATATTTTAAACGCGTGACCTTAAGATTTTTTCTACATTTTCATTCAATTACTAAATTATATATTTATGGCGCACTGTTTATCGATCGCGATATTGTTTTCTTTCTTTCTTTTTTCTTTCTTTCTCTTTTTCTTTTTTTCTTTCTTTTTCTTTCCTTCTTTTTTCTTTCTTTCTTTCTTTCTTTCTTTCATTTTCCTTTCTTTCTTTTTCTTTTTTCTTTCTTTCTCTTTTTCTTTTTCTTTTTCTTTCCTTCTTTTTCTTTCTTTCTTTCATTTTCCTTTCTTTCTTTCTTTTTCTTTTTTCTTTCTTTCTCTTTTTCTTTTTTCTTTTTCTTTCCTTCTTTTTCTTTCTTTCTTTCATTTTCCTTTCTTTCTTTTTTCTTTCTTTCTTTCTCTCTTTTTTCTTCCTATTTCTTTCTTTTTTCTTTCTTTCACAATTAGTCTATATATACTTATCTGTCACTGCTTTTCATACATATGTTATTTTCTTATATATCTTCCTAGCTGAGTGGTTTGAACGTGCTGAACAGTTCTTCAGTTAGAACAAGATGTTCAAACTGAAGATCCCGTTAGGTAACGCGCTCTCTCCCAGAAATTATAACTGACGAACTGTAACTGAGGTCCGTTCAGAATATTGGCAGCATAAACCACAGGTGAGCAATGTGTGTGTTGGATAAACACAAATGTGACCGATCAGGTATCTGGAAAATTAGCAGGCTAGTGTTTGAAAATAGTCTTTCGCTATCCCAATTTACCTTCTGATTCAGTTGTCGCATTTGCCATCCCATGATAAAAAACGTCTTCACCATTTAAATTTTTGTACTTAGTTTTGATATCTCCATTTTGTATTTGTAATTTAAAATGTCCTTTTGTTAACAACCATGAATTATGTCATTGTTATTTCTTTCTTTTACTATAATCTGCAGAAGTTCCTATAGTTTCTTTTTTGTGTTTTCTGTACAGCTTATGTTATAAAGAATTTGGACGACATTAATAAATATTGGTATGACTTTATTTCTGTCAGTATTATTTCAAGATAAAGCTGAAGGCTTCTAATGAAAAAAGATATACGCCCCTTTCTAACTTTTCATATTGACTGAAGTCCTTTTCAGTCCATAGGCCGGTGGTTAGATTCCAGTATATGTTCTGGTTATTCTAATATCCTTCTCAAATAAATCAAGCTACGTAAGTACAGACGTTTAAATATCTTGGAATTATCTTTCGAGACGATGGAATTTTCGGCAAGAAAATCCGAACTCGAATTTGATTCGCGAAAATTGGATTTCAAAGGTTAAACAATGTACAAATAAAAAAGGAAACAAGTTAGAATCAAATGAATGCTACATTGCTATATAATATTAATCCTGTTCTGTTAGTGAATACTAAACAATCTGTCCGCAGGTAAAGATAAAACTAGAGACAGGAGAAATGTTGTTTCTATAGAAGGATACTGGCAATTCAATTGACGGAGCGAATAAACAACGTCGAACTCTTTTAAAAATGGTAACAAAAATACTTGAGACTCTGGAAGATACAGCTAAAATGTATTGGATATATAATTAGGAAGGAGAGCTTTGAAAACTTCATTCTAACAAGGCATATTGAGAGCAAAAGAATGGAAGACAGTGGGCCTCTACCTGACGCGCATGTGTAAGATGATGGTGGACCTGTGAATGGGAAGCTTGACAAAATTAGAAAAGTTGCTAAGAGGAACAGGCATAAGACGATATTGAAAAGGACAATAGTCCACGTCTTCAAGTACCACGGACACATAGAAGCAGAAGATAGTTAACAGTAAGGTAAATACAAAAAATATGTACATATATTGGTTGTATAGGATAATTAAAGTTTTTTTTTTAAATTTATAATTCGATTTTTTTCTTAAATTTTGAATTACGTCAATTGAATTAAGAAAGAATTAATCGCCATAATAGATATCGGTAAAGTTTGGATATCAAGTCAAAATGATTTAATTGCATAAAGGAATCGTTGAAAAAAAATTTTTTTTTTCAAAACGAGAAGCAGAAACGAAAAACATGCAAATAAAGATAAGAAATAAACCCGTATCACCCTTGCCGCCATTTACAGTAAACTTCTGGTAAATGTCACGTTTAAAGCCGCGGTTTTACTAACAAAGCACCAGATGGTACAAGCCAGGCTTCCAAGTGCCAGGGGCCTTGAAAAAAGTGACAGGAGTATTTCAGATATTCTGAAAATAACAAAAAACATAACAAACGAAAAAATAAAAAGTCAATTAATCAGACTAACATTATATAGCTCTCCAATGAACTACGAAAGATATAAAAGGCATGTACCGACTATATATCTTAAAGTTTATATTACAAAGAATATTAGCCGATATGTCTCGATATATACATACAAAAAAAAAAACAGAACATTTTTGGTACTGCTAAAAATTGTCATTGAATTCGACACAAATGAATTATTTCCTTGTAATTTTATCCTGAAGTCAATTTAGCCGATGAGACAACACATATATAATTTAGGCATAATACATATAATGCTAATATTTACTTCTGTACAACCATATACAAGCACTTTGATACAAATAATACTGTATTCAGTTATATGGATATGAGTTTGTGACCCTAGGTTTTAAGTTTTTGATTCTAAAAACGTGAAACCCTGGTCACGAACTCATATCCATACAACTGAAAATGTTAGCTCTATCACTGATATTGAGCCCTTCGCACTGAAATAAATCTAATTTATATATATATATATATATATATATATATATATATATCGAATTTGATGTATGCGGATCAAGAAAATCAGTTCAATGAAACCGACAGCCCGACAGCATCACATGAAGGCAATAAAGGTTTTCGGACTGTGTATATATATATATATATATATATATATATATATATATATATATATATATATATATATATATATATATATATATATATATCTTTGGACCAATATATAAATAAAGATAAAAATGACAAAAGTAATTTTTTTTTTAGTCCATGCGTTTCGCCCCTGAAGGAATTTTACCAAGGCAAATGTAGTTATTTTATTTTGTAACAAGTATTTATATTCAAGAGTATGTATGCAATTTCTTTTTCCAAATTCTTAAATTTAAGTACGCTCACAAATATTCATCATTTTAACCAAAATATCACCAGACAATTGCGTACCAGACATTTGCGTCACTAGACGAATGCCACCCTGGATAATTGCCTACCTCTGATAATTTTTTGAAGTTTTCATTTTTTAAAAAGGTGTTTTAATATAGAAACCTGCATATCAATACCTTTAATTACTCTAAAATAGCTAGGAGAATTATATCTAGGAATGTAAATATTTATTTCCTTTGGCAATTAGCGTTCATTTTTTTTTTTTTTTTTTTTTTTTTTTTAAGTTCAAATGTTGAACCGGAGATTCATATGCGAAACTTTTAAAGACTAAAATGCCGGTGTTCACTTATCTTATTTTTTATTCTATTTTTTTTATAACTAAACGAGGTATTTAGAATCTTTAAAATTTCTTAATTCCAAATTGTGTAATACTAAATTCATTAAAATGATCTGTACGCAGGGAAATCTGAAATGCTTTGGATTTACTAATTTCATATCCTGATTTTTTTATGATGGATTCGGGGTACACAACATCACGACTTTCATTTCAATTTCAGGCCATATTTCCTGTTTTGGAATTGTTTATGACATGTCTTATATATTGGGACACTCTGTAAAGAACTTTAACTGTGTCAAAAGTAGTAATCTTCTGAAGAATTTATTTAGAGATGTGAAAAAAGGCAAGGATAAAAGACATCAACTATAAAAATATGATATAAAATATGTATTTAAGCAAAAAGATATTTTCTGAAAAGCACTTGTACTTAATCGTTCATTTTGATATTTCGATAACGAATAATTCAACCTTAATTTTGTTTTGTTTTGTTTTTCTTTGTTCTTTTTTGTTCTTTTACTTTTGAATATTTCTTAGAATTGATGAAAACTAAGTTATTATTTTCTTATTTATTTATTTATTTATTTTTCCTCTTACAAATAACAAACTGTCCTGACAATTAATACACCTAAGGACAAATTGTCAAACGACCAATTCATATAAGTCAAGATTTTTCCCCTATAAATCATTTTTTTTATCATCCTAATATATTATTATTTTTTTATTTTACAATTCTCCCCTTGGCATAAAATAAACTATTCATGAACGAAATGTAAACAATCTTGAGAAATTAAAATTATGTTTTGTTAAAGATTGTCCTTAGAATAAATTCTAATTATTTTCTATTGCTAAAAATAAAAGTTAACTTACAGAGTAAAGTTTTGAATAAAATAGATGTTATTGAAAAAAAAACTAAAAAAAAAAAACGCACATTTAATTTTCAAATGTCGTTTACAAAAACAAAATTTTGAAAAAATTGTATCCTTATTTCAACATTGCGACGAAAATATGTTTTATTCAAGAAAATCTATTTTTACCGAGACCAAACATAATTCATGTTAATGATATGAACAGTAGATTTTAACTCTGTCCCCCATCATAATGGAAAACAGACTTCAATCAATATCAATTTGCTTTGAAATTTAACTAATTAATTTCTTTATATATATATATATATATATATATATATATATATACATACATTGATTTTAAGATTAATCTATCGTTTATCATTTCTAATTTCATATTCTATTTGGCCTATGATCTGTCAGTATTCATTAGAATGCTACTGTCGATTTTGTGTATATGGGAACGGGGGTTATTTCAGGAAGTTATAATTTAGTTTTTGTCAGGGAAAGGACTGTCTATACATTCTGAACTTACGGTACTTCACTGTTGTTTGTTTTTTATTTCATTTTTAAATTAGGTAACCTTAACAATCACTGCATATATACAAATATTTATTTTTACCACTGATTTGCGCAATTTTATACTGTCATTTGCTTTTTCTTAATTCAAAATTTTATATCTTCGGCGGTTTTATGTTTCGTTTTTTATATGTCCCAGAAAAGGGATATAGTTGTTCGAAGTTGCAAAGCTTTTTAGACTACTTTAATCGCGTAGGACAATCTAGCAGGTAACCGTAATGGACTGGTCCTCGTCGTAGTGGTAGGCAACAGGCGAAGCCTATAGGTGACCTCCCTGTACCTCCTTATCAGTCTGTGTTTATGGCTGACAGATCAGCCAATCTTATTACGGTGAGGAGCAACCCAGGTGTATGCATATTCATTACAGCAGTTTTATACACTCATTGGATGCTATACGATATTTCTCCTACACAATCCTTCAACATGTGATGGAACTTTTATTTTGCTATATTTTGTCTCCGAAAAAAGTGGTGAAATGATCTATGCATGACAAAGATTGGATTCAAAGATGAATTCTCATGTTTGTTAATTTGATCCAATTTTGGAAGATAGGTAGGAACGGAACTTTTTAAG